ACGACCGTCCTCGTTGGGACCTTCGGGGTAAGGGACGACGTTCACTGTCTCTGGACTGTTCGTTCCTACGAGGTAAGTAAGGGGGGGGGGGTGGAAATCGGGGCAGGGACTGCAGACCCTGCTCCACACACGCACAGAATTCATCCCTCATCAATCCCACCACTCTCGTCCACGAGCCACACACAGACTCGGCGTCCGTCTCAACACACCTGCCACAGCCGGACAAGCGCACGTCCAACAAAGAGCCCATGACTCGTAGACTAACAGGCTGTGATGGAGCTGGCGTTGCCAGGCGGTGAGGAGTCTCCACTCTCACCTGCAGGCTTAACAGACTTCTCTACTCATCGTTCGTTAACAAACCACAGCCCACGGGCTCTCTCACCCATCTCCTTAAACTCCTCATTGGTCAGTTCCAGCCACGCAGCGTCCATGTCATTGAGATCGTAACGGCACACACTGTCGGCCAGCGTCCGGATATCCACATAGCCCAGCTCTGGAGGCTCGGAGCCCGAAGAGATGATGTATTTCTTGGGCCTGATGAACATGAGGGACTTCTCTTCAGACACAACCCTAGTTAACAAGAAAACAGGGCAGCCAGGTTACCCTTCTGCCACACGAAAAGAAGTTTGTCAGAAGGCCCCAAGTTAGCTTCCCCTCCAACCCCCAAACTCCAGGTCATTGCCAGGTTGAGACTAAACACCCTAACGTCACTGCTAATAAAATGATATAGGAGTCATTTCAGTCCCCAAAATGGAAACAGTTTCAAGTAAAAACACTGCAGAAGTCTCCAAAACCAGCTTCTCCTACGAGGCTTCCTGTAATGCCCCTGCCCTGCCACCATCTATAGCAGCAGTTGCTGGCCTGCTGGCAACACCAAAGCACTGACTCCCTAAGTGTCAAGGGATAAATCACTGTCCACCCCTGCTGGAGGCCACCAACACCTGGGTTCTCAGTAACACTGAGGAAGCGAGAGCAGCCACACAGGCAGCGCACGCACAGAACGCTGGGGAACCGAGGGGAGAAATCCACTGCCTCTGGTTCTAAAACTCAGGCCTTGACCATTACTGACCAGCCTGAGAATCAGAGTCCTCGCCAAGTGGGAGATACTCCCAACACATACTGGGGACCCCATGATGGGAACACAAGTCCCCTCCACTCTTATACTCCACCCTCGTCCCCAGCCTGTGAACAGCTGGAGAAGTGCTGTCCACCACACCCCACTCAGAAGAATGACAGCACACCGAGAAGGTCAAATCGCTGCCAACTGGGAATGAGAGGCCTCTTCCTGAGAGCAAAGATGGCCTCGGGAGCCCCACAGAGCCTCACAGCCCCTCCAGGTCTCTGTGTGTCAGCAGGTTGCATTAACACCCAGTTGTCCAGTTTGTCAAACTACCTCCATCACCCTGATCATTACCAGAATGATTTCATCTACATGACACGGAGATGGGGAAACTCAAGTTATCTCTCCTGCTCAACCAAGATCAGGGTTTCAGCTGAAACCTTCCATGAGCTGTGTTAACGTTTACTTCTCTTGTACTGGGCCCCTAACTCCTGGACAGGAATCACCAGTGCTGAACAGTTGATGCTGCAAACTCTAAGGCAAACAGACGGTGTTTATCCTGCAGAGCCCAGGGAGACGCTCCATCCACTCCACAGGCTGGCGTCTGGCCTATGGAGGCATCGGAGTGGTCACGTAAGCCTGCGTGTTTGTGTGGACACAACACGTTTTGTCACAGAGATCCCAACACAGTAATCAGATCTGATCATCCCAAGTGCCTGAGGGACAGATACCACTCGGGTGAGGACCGAGGGTTCAATTCAGCCCACACTCGACAATGGTGCAAGAGTCCATTTCGCAAAGCAGGCAGCTGACTGACTACGCAGCAGGAGGAGAGGCACGCAGGGCTCTCTTCCAGGAGGAGCCTCCAGGCCATGGGGACAAATCAGCCTAGCTTCATGCTGAGGCAGGTCATCAAGGATCCAACCCTCCACACTTTTAAGGGGAAAAGTGGTTTGGAAGTAAATCCAGAGAAATCCCCACGAACAACTGGGCAAGTCCACCCAAGGAGAACTTATCAAATGTACTCCTCCTCTGAGCTCCACCTCGATGCGGCCCTAGCCTGGCAGGCTGCTCACACCCGTCCTCCCCAAGGGGGAGTCGGCCATGGTGGGGCCCAGTAAGGCCAGACGCCTCTCTCCAGCAGAGTTACTCCCAGAGGAAAAGAGGAAGCAGCTGTGCAAACATCCAAATGTTCCCTGTTCCCCGCCGGCCACTCACTTCCCAGGAAGTCCTAGAATCTACCTTCCTCTCTTAAGAGAGAGCAGCACATTCCCAAGATGGATGCAATGTTGTTCAGAGGCCCAGGGCCCTCCAAACCACTCCCTACAGACCCGAGGTGTGTTTCTAATGCATTTCCCCTTACCCCGGAGGCCCCACTGCCCACTCGACACTGCTCCTCTCAGACACCTGGCTGTCAGGACAGAGAGGAATGGCAAGGGGAGACGCAGTGCTCCTCTCCCGGGGCACGTCTACCTGGCCACGGGCTGAGGGATGGTCCCAGGGCTCACTGGCACCTGGACCCCCTTCTCCCACTCCTGTCTCCAGGGATCTGCCAGTACATAATACTCATCCGGGTTCAGCTGGTAGGAGTCGTGCAACTTCATGGCGGTGATCAGGTCTGTCCTAAACACCTGGAAAGGGAGAGAAAGGATCGCTGACACTGGATGTTTGCATTCTTATTCAGAGCACTGGCAGCTGCGGGGTAACCATGGAGCTGCCACGAAACAGGGTCACTGTTTCAACAGAGAACCAGTCTGACCTATTATAGGAAACCCCTTGGCTTGCTGTACCCGGGGCCTCTCTCAGGCTTGGGGTAGTGGCAGCTCACCCTGTCCTCACTCCCTCACCAGCTCTGAGAGATGAGAGTGTCTGCACCAGCTACAGCAACAAAGGAACCTTGCTGTCCTCCCCTGAAAAACTCTAAGAACTCCCAATTCACCGAACAGGCTGCTGGAAACATGCGCCTGAAAATCCCTGGAGGGAAGTATCTCACTCAGGGGTGCCATTTTGGTAAATGTTTAAGAAATAAAACTTCACCAACCATGTAACAACTCCAAGCCAAACCCAGAGCCACAGGGCTGCCTCTTTCACACTCAAGACTGCCGCCACCCGGCCCCTGCCCACCAAAGCACTAGGGCTTACAGCAAGGGGTCTGGGGAGGGCAGGTCCTGGTTGGTCAGTGCCAGGCGGAAGTACAGGCCAGAAAAATGTGGGAGAGAAGCAATGACAAGCCAGTGGAATCAAGGCAGAAAATGGGCTTATAAAAAGTGTATTCGTTCGCACACCTTCTCCTGGCACAACTTCTACAATGGAAGTGGCATTTGCAGAGAAAGGAGCAGAAGGAAAGAGGGAAGGAGAGAGAGAGAAAGAATCAAGCAAGCTACTAGCCTCTCCTCCCCCTGCCAAAAACAGACCCACAAGACTCCAAAGTACCCCCCTGCCAAGAGGGGACCTCAATCCCTCAGTGCAGGTCGGGGGACCACGTCCTCCTGAGGGGGCCGCAAGCAGCAGCAGCACAGCTCTGCCTCCCTGCTGGGGCCCTGTCCTCAGTCCACTCAGGTCTCAGGACCTCACGAGGAAGCTCTGGCCCTGGCGTGAGCACTGGCCCAAAGTTGTATTTGGCACGACATGTGCCTGCATCTGAAAGCTACACTCTCTGTTTACACAAGTCACAATGCTGAACTCTCTCTTCTTGGGACAGGGAGTTCTTCTTGTGCTGCTAAGCACAGTTCACATTATATGCCTGCTATTAGGTCCATATTTGTTTTTCCTGGTGGCTTTTCAGGCTGGTGATCACTTTAATAAACTTCACCGTAATAAAGCCTGAGGCAGTATCTAAATAAAAAGGCCATTTCTTCAGACTGCCATTCTGGACCAGACTTTTCCCTAATATGCTGCTCCTTGTTTCTAAAATCCCAGTAACAAGTGAGAACCTGGCTGTGCACCTTCCACAAAAGCACAAGTAAGATCGAGTCCCCAGAACAGGTGCTGGGGCCCAGGTGCACATGAACCTTGTCAGCCCGCCTTCCCCACCCCCAAAGAGAAAAGTCCTTCAAATAAAGCCACAGGTTTACATATTCAGGTGGCAAACCAGTCAAAAACACTTTCCAACTTAGTCTGATAAAAAGAAGTGAGGGAGTCTGCCAAAGAAGGAAAATCAAACTGAGGTGACAAGAGGAAAAAAGGCAGCCCACTGTTCCCGCACTCAAGGAACTCGGATACGATGGTCAAGGATGGACACAGATGCCCCAAACGGACGTGAACTCCCGCGTCCCCAGCAGAGCTCCACGTTAGCACCTTAAGTGGAAAGCAATGTCAACTCAAGAGAAATTTTACAAAAAGCCTGGAACAAAACCCAAGTTGGGGAGCAGGCTGGCCCTCAGTGCCAGCACCAGAAGGGGCTCTCACCACACCCGGGAGGCAGTGGTGCTGGTCACCCAGGCACCAGCTTCCTATTAGAGCCCCGGTACCCCTGCCCTGAAATAAAAGGCACACAGTGTGAACATCAGAAAGGTACTGAGGGGGCTGTGGAGGTAGCACGAGCAGCAGAGTCACTGTGAGACCAAAGAGAGGGAAGACGGCACTGCAGGTGCAAAAGGACAAAGGCCTGGAATAAATCAAGGCAATGAAGCGGCCGCCCTGTCATGAACACCTAATCTGACGTTTACGTGCCCCCTGGGACGGTTTTCCACAGTTCTGAAGCACGCATCCTACTTCCTCATGGAGGAAGTTATTTCACAACCATATAACCCCTACCTTCCTCAACACAGAGCCCCCAGCATCCCTCTCACAGTCGGAGGAGATGCAGCTCCTTGGGGACGGCGGCCACCTCAGAAGTCACTGCACCAAGAGGCAGCACAAAACCAAGGGGCTGAACTAAAGACTCTCTATTCTGAGCATAACCTGCTCACCTGAAAACTGTGATAAACTAAAATGCCTTTTCTTCAATCATTTAAATCCTCAGAGTCCAGCCCAAGGCTTTCAGAGAAAAGAGATCTCAGGACTGGTAAGGCCCCTGATAAACGAAAGCCAACAAAGACATGCACCTACAGCTTTACAGAGACAGGTAATGGGTAGGTAGACAGACAGACAGACAGACAGACAGACAGACACAAACGGGAGGGCACAGGGAAACCTAAGAAGAGAAACAGATGGGGGAAGAGCCTTAAGCATAATCCCCAAAACAAAACTCCCAGAATTACGTTGGCTTTTGCCAAATAAGCCACAAATTCATAGCTAAAACTAACTTGAGGCTGGCAGTGACTGGCAGCAGCCGGACACACTGATCTCCTGGCCAGAGGGAAAGTTGTTGGGAGCCAGCAAAGATGGAACAGAAAAGGAAACAAAGAATAAAATTAATAATAACAACTAACATTTACTGAGCACATTTCACCTGCTTTGTATGCATTAACCTCTGTGTATTAACCCACTTAATCCTCACAAGAATCCTATGAGGTAAACACCTGTGTTACCCCATCTTACAGATTTGTAAACTGAGACACCGAGAGGTTAAATAACTCGCCCAAGAATGCACAGACATCAATACCAATCAACCAGGTGCGTGTGTCAACCATACGCTCACACACACGAGTACGACAGTCACACCAGCATTCGGGAAATACCTCTGAAGGCTTCCGGTCTTCATGTCTGGAGCATGAACTTCTCCTGTGCTGAGATCGGGAATTCTGTGACCACGTAGTTGACAGGCCTAAAGAAACAAATATCCGAACAGGAACAATGAAAAACTGAACAATTAAGAACACACAAATCAGTGTTTACAGGGGTCTTTTTTTTTTTTAAGCCAAACTGAGCAAGGCTCCCCTCAGCGCCACTCCAGGGGACAGTCAATGCTCTGCCGGCGCTCTCCTCCCCCAGAGCTCCTCCACCCCCATTACTCACTCACACACTCACTCCCCAAAGCAGGCCAACAAGACCCTCTGTGTGGCTGTGCTCAGGGCTCCTGTGTCACAGAACAGCTCACGGGAGGGGAGAGGCCTTTCAAGAACACCACACAGGTGGAACCTCTGTCCCTAAGCCTGCACTTGAGGCTCCAAGTCTCACACTGGTAAATATAAATTCAGAAACTTTCTTGAATTTCCAGTAACCTTTCTAAACGCGAAGATCATTATGCTAAATCCTAAAAGCCATCCCCCAAAACATAAGAAAAAAAGTTTTGACTCTGCAAAAAAAAAAAAATTTAGCATTTCCTGGAACAGGGAAGTTCAGATCTGCTGTACACTAGCTGCTACAGCCAAATCACCTTCAAAACTGCGTACTCCTCTCTTTCCCCAGAAAAAGCCTGTCAGTCTTTTCTGAGCTCTGAAGATAAGGTATTCTTATCCCTGGTCACACGGCCCCTCTCCCACCAGGCCACGGAAACTGGAAGCCCTACCAGGACACCTTTGTCTCCTAACTGCCACCAAGTCTGAGCCTGAGCTCCTCTCAGGCCTAAGGCCCCTCTGCAGCACAGCCTCCATCCTGCTTTCCTGGTGTCCCCACTCTGTGGGCCCTGTCTTCCAGGTGCCCCCCCGCCCCGGCAGTGCTCATCCAAGCCTACAGTCCTACTCAACACGCCCACGCCCAGGAGACTGCCAAACCTGTGTGACCTGCATTCCCTCGCTATCCTCCCACCCAAGCACTAGGTCCATGTTCACTCTCAGATCAGACATCAGCCAAGCCCACAGTGTTCCTGAGATGGGTCAGAGTTCAGCACCACAGTAACTGGGCTCAACATCTTACCCAAACCCATTCTTCTACTCCTACTTTGAGGAATTATCACCACCACTCCCACTTAAAGTCAGTAATCTTAAGAGTTATCCTAGACTCTCCTGACTCAGGACACATCCAATCAATGCCCAAGTCACATCAGTTCAACTGCCCAAAACCTCAGAATCCTGGTCTTCTCTGTTTGTGGGTGCTGGACCACCATCAGAGATCTGAAACAGCTCTCACAACCACCTGCAGGGTGTCTAACTTCCTAACGACGTGCCTCCACCTTGATTACAACTGTACCATTTCCCAGAAATTAACAACCCCTCCCCGACCCCAGAAAGCTAAGACCTGAGGGAACCTCTACCGTACCAGTAAAATCACCTGTCACTCAAACAAGAAACTCTTATCTCTACAGATTCCAGAAACAAGGGACACAGAATCAAAACATCCTTAAGACCTTGGGGGCATTAAGAAATAGACTCTGCACATAAGCCTATCATCAGATTTGCAATGACAGAGACTAAAGGGGATTGCCACGCTCCCCTGACGGGAGAGGTCGGAACTACCCTCGAAGACCAGTTCTGAGGCCCGATACTGGGTCAACTGACTGCTGTCAGGCCAGCAGAACTAGATTTCCTACTAGTGGCCCTACTGCACTACTCAGTAATATTTTCAAAACTTCTTCTTTAAAAAATAATCCTAAGTATCTTTCTTTAGACTCCAAATGAACAAGAAATCTTCACTCCCACACTGCAAGAAATATTCTGGGCACACTGGGGTGATTCCGACTTGCAGGAAGTTTTAAATCTGGTCACCACTGGAGAAAGAAAGACAGAAGCCAAGCTAGGAACCCAGAGAGGAAGGCAGCTGGGCAGCTTGTGTGTTTAACAGGCCCCTCTGCCACCCTCTGGTCCTGCAGGCCACCCCCAGCCAGCCCGCAGGCTGAAAGCAGAGATGGGAAGAGCACAGGCAACTCGGGGTGGGACTGCCCAAGCGCTGGGGGCGGGGAAGGAGACACAGGGCAGAAGAGGGATGGCCCCCTCACTTGGAATTACCATGTAAAGGGTTGTTAAGTGACAAGGAATGAAACAGAAAAACTTTAAATTCATTCCACGGCTATAATTCAAAAACTAACATGGTGGGGAGGGGAGGTGAGTGCTTACAGTTAAATACTCTCAAAGTTAAAGCAGAAGCAACAGATTTGTTCATTCTCAAAGTTCTGTGGCCCTCTTGCCTCTTCCTGGGGATCTGTCAGGATCCCTCCAGGGTAGCTTTCAAGGTTCCCAGGAAGTTTCAGCTTTGCTGGCACAGAACAAACCAAGTAATGGCAATCACTTAGAAACTTTTCCTAGTACTGCTTTTATATTCTTGAAAAATGTTGTCTGCTTTTAAAAACAGATATTCAAAAATGCTATAAATTTGGTATCTGATAGTATTACCCAAGAGAAACTCTGGCCCACCCAGAAATAGTCTGTTCCTCTTCCTTTTCATTTGCCTAATGCAAGAGGAGGAAGAGAAAAATTAATAAAACTTACACTGCAGAAAGGGAAAGGCTGGAAGGAAAACTAAGTTTAAATTACCACTGACACAAGGAATGTCCTTAGCTTATTTATAAAAGACAAAAACCAGAAACCATGCAAACACCCACTACCAGACTGAATGAATGAACAAATCATGGCATAACCACAAGGGACTACTACCCAGCAATAAAAAGGAACGTGCCGGTGATACATGCAACATGGATGTACGTGGGAGTAATTATGTGGCATTAAAGAAGCCAGATGAAAAGAATACGAACTGTATTATTCCGTTTATATGAAACTCCAGAAAATATAAGCTAATCTGTAGTGACAGAAAGTAGATCAGAGGTTGACTGAGGAAAGCAGGAGGGGAAGGATTATCTTGAGTTATATGATTTCATGGGTGTAAATGTGTCAAAACGTATCAAAGCGTACACTTTAAATGTGTGCAGAAAATACCTGGTGACTTTCTATCACCCATTAACAGTGAAGGAAAACAAAATGCTCCATTTTACTTCACACAGGTGGCTGGTACGAAGCCTGCACTTCGCTGCTCAACAGCGAGAAGCGGGATCCTCCACGCCCCACACAGGTACCTACTGGTGATCCCCTCCTTCTAACTCACTGTACTATTCAGAGCACACAGCGTACCTAAGTCAGCACTGTGCCCACAGCAGATTCTCAATTTTTTTTTCAAGTTTTTAAATGGAAAAAAATATAGTGTCATTGTTCGGGACAGACAGTCATGCTCAACGAGAACCATCACTGTTACTCAAGCACTGCAGGTGGCAGGTACCAAAGACACACCCCTGTTTTAACTACTAGAAGATATGCTATTGATCTTAAGGAAAATGAGGTCCTGGCAAACAGAGACAGCGTGGTGGGGCCGCTGTTTCCTGACAGGAACGCACTCCCCTGACAGAGCACCCACAGCGAGCCCACGGGAGACTCAGAGCACCTGCCTTGACGTTCCTCACCACTTCTCCTCCCTCAGCCACATTCTCTCCGGGTACTTCCCAGATGGCCATCAAGCTCCCAGAACACAATCCCAAGCAAAAATGGCCCACACTCCATTTTAATTTAAAAATGCTATGGGTTTTTTTGGAAGTATGCTGGGTGAAGAAAAAGAATTAAACCAGAAATGAGAGTATTTCGAACACCAAAAGGACCGGGAGGCAGTGATTCACACTGTGGTATAACACTGGCCACTTCTTAGCTCTTAAAAACCACGTGCTAAGATTATGCTGAGTTGGTGCTGCATTTTGTTTTTTTTTCAGAGTCCTAACATTTAATGACAAGCTAAATTAAGAATATGGCAAGTAACATTTTGTTTGTTGCTTTCAGGAGAGGAGTTGGCAACTCTAAAAACTTGGTAATATCTAAAAAGTACTGTATTACCCACACACAAGATATTACCTAAAGTTAAGTCTACTCTAGTGACAAGTGTGACTTTTAGCTTCTTGACATGTACGCTGTTTCAGTATCAACAATTAATCTATATTAAACACTGAAAAGAATTAATGGAATAAACCCTTGTTTTGTTTCACTGTCCCCAGTTTCCATTAAAACAAATTTGGGAGCAATAATAAGTCATAAAAGGCTCACAGATCAGAGCACTATGAGCATGGATCTTGTGCATGCACTGCATTCTGAACCCTGCTTCCTGGTCCTATTATGCATTTACCTCGAATACGCCTTTGAAATATTAAAAATAGTCACGCAGTCTTGCCCTAGATCTAAAATAAGGAAAAACCTCAAGAGTACATCTAATGCATATTGCACACACCTCCCATTTGACAGTTCGTGTATGTGTAGCCTCCCAGGTTGTCCCGCACATGAAAGGTTCAGAAATTAGAATGAAGGGCAGCCTGGGTGGGTGCTCACACCACCACAAAATGCAAAACTACGAAAGAGCCTAACCACTGATCAAATAGCATATCTCCTGTGTCTCACATCCTGTTTCTAAATGCTAAATACTACCCTTGTGTCTCTAGGAGTGTTAAATCAGCTTAGCACAGTAAGAGGCTTAGGACCAGCAAGCATGGAGCCCAGCAGGCCAACCCCATCACCATAACAGTGCAAGGCGAGGCCAGCCTTGTGCAAGCAAAGCGGTACTAAGCAAAGTCCTAGCTAAAAGAAAGCAAATTGAATGTAGTTCCCAGCTACTTGCTTTAACTGCATGATAAATGTATGACCTAATCGCACACCACTGCTATTTCCAGCATGGTCTGATCCCACATCTCCCGCCGCCCAGCCCGCCCTTCCATCCCAGCATGGCTTATTGGCTCCATGGTCCAAACTCACTTCCGTCTTTCAAAAAACAAAGTTTAATGGGTACATTCAGAGAACTGGCCCAGGAATGTTCCAACATATTTAAAT